ATGGCAATGTTTCTTGAGTCACGTGACCCACAGGAACACTATAGTTTGATAAGCTTCAAAAATTTAAAAGATTGTCAAAATGTCAAAAATTATCAAACTTTTTGTTGTATCTTAATAATTTGTTATGAAAAGTTAAAAAACTCTAAAATTATTTCCTAAAGTAATACAAAATATAAACAAAACTTGTCAGCACTTATGGATCTTTTAAAATTTGCAAGATAAAATCCAAATCCGACAGACCAATAGAACTTAATTTAGAGCAACTACATCAGCTAAACAAAAGCAGTCTGATATCAACTATATGCTGCTTTAGAAATGAACCTGGATTATTCATGGTACATTTGAGATCCACTTATATAAAATGAAAAAGACATCCAATCTCGTTGTTTGAACACCACAAACTAAATGTTATGCAGTATCTAAGTTACAGCTCATGTTCAACTGATATAACTATATCATCACCAGAGATGAGAAGTGGGTAGTCTATGTAAAGCATACCAGGAAGTGCAAGTTAGACACTTGCACTTCCTAGTATTGGTATCACCTATCCAGGTTTTGTAGTTGCTCCTGGTATCACTTGTCTAGGAACAACTACAAAAACTTTGAGAGTCATCCTATACCTTAAATAGGTATTAAATAGTTTTGTGGATATTATGTACTATAAACTGCTCCCAACAAACATCACAACTGTGGCAGAAACCTAAAATAAACAAGCTTTAAATACTAAAAAATCGCCCAGAGCACAAGACAGTTTAATTTACATTAAAAAAATCTACATGGCAAAAATTATTGAAACTTGCCTCATTTCCCCTACTCAGTTGATTGTTAACAGATTTTTATTTGTTCCAATCACTGAGCAACAGCTTGCGCATGGAAAGATTCAACAAGGTGGTACCGAACAGCACCTCAAATATTTTTTTGATTCATAGCCTTGAGTAGCAATTGACCGAAATTTCAATTTGAACCAATACAAAAACTTAGTACAGTAATTTGGTAAAAAGCAAAACTTTGGTTAGAAAGCATACTGAAAACCGAAAAATTTGTGAGATTTAAAGTTTTTATCTAATTTAAAAAACAGTTATTTTTTGAGAATTTTCACAAGATATTTATGAATTTTTAAAAAAATTTGAGAATTTTCACAAAATACCTCAAAAAAAATCTTGTTTTACAGAGAATCTGTTGTTAACATTCGCTATTAACTTATATTGTTAACTTTCGCTATTAACTTATATTGGCTTATATTAATACTTGGCAACTTATGTATTAAATCTCAATTTGTGAAATGTGAATCAATTCTAACATAAAACAAGTATTAAAAAAATAAATAAACAGAAAATTTTATTTTTAAATACATTTTTCTAATGAAAATTAACTTTGAGTAGCAAAAATGTCAGTATCAGTTTCGGTAAAATATTTGGCAAAATGTCAGTTTTGGTTTCAGCATCGAACTAGGGTACCTAAAATTTCAGTTTATTTCGATTTCAGCTTTTTTTTTGTTTCAGCCAGTCACTAGCCTTGAGAGATCTATGCCAACAACATAGGTTTTTTGCCGAAGCATTAGCAAAAGGTCATAGACGATGATAATGTTTATATCAAGCATTCCCAGAAAGCGCGTGCAGTTGCACGCCTTGTTTGTCCACGCCTAAAGTAATTATTTTAGACAACTTGACTATGTTTTTATATAGTAAGCGTTTTAAGAATTTGCGGCAAAATAAAACTATAAGAAACTAAAGAGAATAAAACAGCAATACTCAAACTTCGAGTATTGCTGTTTTATTCTCTTTAGTTTCTTATAGTTTTATTTTGCCGCAAATTCTTAAAAGAGCCAAAGACTATATGAAATAAAAAATCTAAAAAAAAAAAAAGCTAAAAAAATTGAATATTAAAAAAAGAAAATTGTTCTCAAAAAACTAATATACCTAAATAATTTATCGTTCTTATTTTCTTATTTTAAAGGGACCACCAATTCCTGAGACATGTTGTGTTCATCTTGAAGAAAATGTTAAAAAAAAAACATCTAAGCAAATTTTATTTGTTAAAAACTAATTAATAAATGTATACAAAAAAAAAACAAATCTTGTTGTTTTAGTCGAAGCTTGTCTTCTCCATTTTCTGCGGTATTTGGAGTCTGTAAAATAAATGTGATTTTCCAGGCGCATTATACAGACTTGATAATTTATTCAAGTGCGCTTAATTCATAGGAGTTTTAGTACATGACATCATAGATTTTTTGTTTGTTTGTTTAAAACACTGATTATTATTTTTTACATACAATTTCCAAATCATATTCATTACTTTGTAAATATTAAAAATAAAATTATTAACGCATATTTTCTCTGATTTTTAAAAATGTATTTTTTGGTATTGAGGTGATCTTATTTCATTATTTATATTTCCATTATTATAACATCTAATGTATATAATGTATATAAGTGACTTGGGTGAGAGGCTAAAACGAAAATAAAATGCAGCCAGAATCATAATTTCCATGGAAAAAACAGGAATCTTTAGAAATTAGGGGGGAGGAGGGTCTATTGGCGTTTGTTCTTATATCAGTGAGTATATACTATATTCTGTAGAACGGTGATTGGCAATAAGATAAAAAATCTTCTTCTTGTTCGTTCATTAATTTAGTTTTAAATTTATGTGCATAATATTTATCAAACGGTAAAATACAATTTGGAGAAAAGTAAAAAGATAACTTTTTTAATTAGATAATTTTCATATATTTTTATGGCACTCTCTTCTAGATAAAAAGATGACCTTGGTCACCTTATAATAGATTATGAATTTTTCAAAGATTCTGAACAAGTATTTATGTATTTACAATTTGGTTGTCTTATGTTAAACTTGATTTTATTTATATAACTTTGTTTATTGAAAAATATTTGTATTTCTCTGTTTCTTTTAAAAAACATTCAGATATGCCGCTTATTGTCAGTTTATATGACTAACATACTGTAAACTTGAAAGCTATAATCGAAAGGTTCTACCAGCATATGTTGTTTCAGCAATAAGATCCAGGTTTCCAGATGTTAATGGAATTTACACGAATTTTGAAGGTGATGATGAAGGTGCCTTAGGTATATCTGAAGTGGTAGATATACTGGTAGATTTGAAAGTGCCAAAATCTAAGTAATAAAACAGCTATTTTCATAGTCACAAATTCTAAAAAAACTTTATGCGCAATAGAATATATAATATATATTTTAGAAACTTGAAGATATTCTAGAATATTTAAAACTGACCTAAACTACTACTAAAGCCTACTTGGTTTATAAAAAAAGGACATTTAAAAAAATTTGGCGTCATAAGGGTCCCTAGGTCCACCATTGCAGTGGCCCATGTAGCCACAGCTCTGATAGCTACAAAAAAACAAAATATTTTTCAATGTGAAGATTTTAGAAAATAAAATAACTAACTATAGTTAGCTATTTGAGTAAAATTTAATAGTAAAATTTTTAAAGAATTCCTAGAATGTTTCCAATGACATCATGCTCTAAAACTCCTATGAATTAAATGCACTTGAATAAATTATCAAGTCTGTATAATGCGCCTGGAAAATTGTGTTTATTTTAAAGACTCCAAATACCGAAGAAAATGGAGAAGACAAGCTTCGACTAAAACAACAAGATTTGTTTTTCTTGGTATACATTTATTAATTAGTTTTAATCAAAAAAAAAATTGCACAGACATTTTTTTTAACATACTCTTTAATATGAACACAACATGTCTCGGGACTTGGTGGTCCCTTTAAGGATGTTTGTTATTTTCCACTACCAAAATTGAATCAAGTTAAGGAAAATGGTAGATAAGAATATAAAGAAAATAAAAATAATTTTTGATATACAATTTTTTGCAACCTTTTTCAGTCAGTATAGGAAATACTTTATAATTTTTTTAAATACATTTTTTTAAACAGAGCAATTGTTATGTTCATTATCTATAGAAATTCATATTAACATTGGAAATTGGGCATTGTAAAAGAAACAATTTTCGACATGCATCAAATGCGGTAAATAAATTTATTAAAAAAAACCATATTATTCTTTTTTTTTTTAACTTATTTCATCATTACAAAAATTATTAATCAAATAATATATTTTGCAAATAAATAACAATTTATTCTCTTATTTTCCTATTATATAAGTATAAGAAAAAAAAACGTAAAATATAGCGTAAAAATATAAAAATATTTTTAAAAGCAAAAATACGTACAAAAAGAATAAACATAAAAAAAAAAATTTCTCATAGTTCTAGCGTACACATCAAATTAGTTTCTTAATTATATGGACTGATAAAAATCTTGAATAAATTGCATATCAAAACTTTCATTTGTTGTTAAACCATTATAAAAGATAATATTTTTTCAACAACGACTCTTAAAAAAGAATACAAAAGTTGTATAAAAACTTGTATAAAAAAGTTGTATAAAAAATTATCTACTTTTTTTAATTAATAAATTTACTAGTTTAATTAAACTTGATAACTTGTTACAATTTTTCTTTTCTTAAGATTGTTTTTTTTAGTAGATAAGTATTTTTCTTAGTAGATAAGTTTTTTTCTTAGTAGATAAGTTTAGCTTTTTGTTGCGAATTATTGAAATACTCTATAAGTTAAAACTGCCATGGTCAGTTTTTCTAAAAAAATCACTTTAAACATGGACCAACAAGACATGCGTACGCACATGCTTCCCGGAAGGCTTGTTACATTGTTGAAGATTAGTTGAAAAGATTAAAAAAAAATTATAAATATTTCGGAAAAAATTTCTGTTACTTTTTAGCCAAATCAATATGGGTTTACAGAAGACAAACTATTCTCTTTAAGCAATATACGAAACCATCAAAGTAAAGGAAAAGCTCAATTAATCTTTTTTAAAAAAAATATTCAAAAATTGCCAACTTTGTATCTATAACATGGTACCCATCTATGACTCGTATAAAATATTTTAAATCTGCCTTGATAAAAAAACTGAAAGTTTTAAAATATCTGTTTTCTACCTGAGAATTGTTGGATTGCATTTATGATGAACTTCTATAATTACTCTTGTCAGGCAGAACCTTGTACCTTAAAAAAGAATCAAAGTTAGAGAACACTCAGCGCCATATTTTTGCATCATAAAACTTAATTTTCTGCCACATAGCTTATAGATTCTTACAACTATAGACACCTTTTAGTTTTATTAAACTTACACAAATCTTAACCGATAAGTTGTATAGCTTTCATGTAACATAAGTTTTACATAAATATTTGTGCAAACTTTAGAAATTTATTGGTATCTGTAATCATTCTGCTGCAAAATAAAACACAAAACAAACATCAATAAATAAAAGGTGGACTGCATGTTTTTTAACTGTATTAAAGTTGCATGGATTACATATTTACATAGTTTACATAGGTAAAATATAATCTTACATTCTCAGTTTTACATAAGTAATGTAAAATCTTACATTCTCAGTTTTGGCTTTGAAATCGTGTGCAAAGCAACATTCTTTTCCATTCTTGCAATTGTTGTGAATATAATACCTAAAAATAATAATATAAATATCTTTTTAAAAATAAAAAAACAAAAAACAAATAAATAATGAATTTAATAAATCTTGTGAAAAAAAAAATTAAGTTAGCTTACTTGCAAAGTTTATTTTCTTTTTCCATTGTTAAACAGTCAGAAATGCTTTTTTTAAATTCATATGGAAATTTTTTCATATAAGTATAAACTAAAGATAACATAAACTGCAGAGTCTCTATTGTGTGCTAGAAAATATTTACAACACACCATAGCAACTCGTTTAACTGACTTATAGTAAAATAATATTTTTTTACAAAATAATTTTTCATTTACAAAAAATGCTGAAAATCACGTCGATGTTTACCAAATGTCCCATGCACCATTTTAAAGCTCTCAATTTCATTGAAACTTACATGTAAAATTAAGCTAATTAAATTGTTCTATAATTGTTAAATATTTAAAAAAAATCTCTTTAGCAACCAATTTCTTCCAAATCAAATTCTGGTCTAAATCAAATGTCCAAATTTAGTTCAAATCAAAATCTGGTCTAAATCAAATTTCTAGTCCAAATTTTAACTGAGATTTGTTTATATTCATATTAAAACAATTTTTGCCACAAAATTTGCAACTAATAATCCAAATATTTTTAAAAATTTCAAAAACTAATCAAAATCTTTATTAAGATTTAAAGTTAAATTTCATTTTTCTTCTCTCGTATACAGCTAACATAAATGGGTAAATAGATTGTTCAAATGGAGAGTTTAAAATATAAGGAAATTGACTCTAGTTTCCACAAACTGATGTTTAAACCTTTTAGAAAAAACCATTCAAAATTAAAAACATTTTTTTTCAGTATTTGTTTTTAAAATCCTTAACTTAATAACTACAAAGTTTTATTTTTGATGTGATTTGAACAATAGGAATCTATAAACTCTTTTTTAAAACCACACTCTCAAAATTCATCTATATCTTTTATCTATAAACATTTTTATTACTTTCTTTTTTTGAATCACATACTTGTATTTTATGTAAAAAACTTTAAAGAAATAAATAGAGCATTGATTTTATTTACTTTTTGAAAAAGATCACCCTTGCATGCTGGGTCACATTTATATAAATAAAGTTATTTTTCTTCAATAGTATATCAACCTGGGTCTAATAAAAAACCTTTGAAATAATTTTAAAAATAATTAAAACTTTTAATAAGAACTAGCAGTAAGCAACCCATAATACGCGTTGTTAGTAAATAAAATTTAAAAAAAAAAACGCGTATAGAAAAACCTTGAAACTAATTTAGAATAGAAAAGCCTAGAAAATGACGTAACTCGACTAATAATAATAATAATATTAAATTAGCGTATTCATATTATCAGATTGGTAAAAAACCAATAAAAATGACATTTGAAACTTAAGTTCAAAAATAGTCTTCAAAGATAAATTTTAAAATTTTTCATTTCTTAATTTAAGTAATTGATTTTTAGAACTTTTTTTATACTGTAATATTTGTAACAAGAAATATGTTGTGTAATAACTTCAAAAAAAAAAATGCATAACTGTTTATATTTAAAATATAATTAAATTCTGTTTTTTTTTTTTATTTTCTTTGATTTTAAGCAAATATAAAACAAATTAAAACTAAGATCAAAACAGAAAGATCAAAGATGGTCACATAATTTCTTTAAATAGAAAGATCACAGATAATAACAAAATTTCTTTAAATAGAAAGATTACAGATGATCACATAATTTCTTTTAATACACTCATTCATTAAATTTTAGGTTTTCAGAACACATTCAAATGTATTATGAAAATGCAAAAAACTGCAATTAATTTTAACCAGAAAATAGTCTAACACTTCATCACTGATAAACTAAATTTTTTGTTTTTTAAGTGCCCCAAGAAGACCTAACGGTCTTGTCGCAGAGCACTGCCGAAGTGCATTTAACTAGAAAGTTCACACCTCTTTCCTTACCATGATGCAAAAATATGTCCAGAGTTGGTTTTGAACGTAGATCTCCTGCTTTTAAAGCAAGCAATTTAACCACTGCGCCACGGCTGCATAAAATTCAATGGTGTTCAAAAGAATGTTCTTAATATTTGATTAAAACCAAATAAATTTTTTTTATTAAAACCCTTAGGTACCCCGACAATTGCTGGTTATCAGCTAAGCAATGAATAGTTTTAACGAAAAATAAATTACAAATTTTCTTTAAACAGTTCTTCTAACATAGTTCCTATTACATGAAAGTAAAAAAAAAAAAACAATTTTCTTTTAAGAATGCAAACAATTTACAACACAATAGACATAGTAAAAATGTTATACTTTATTACTATTAAATATATAACTAAATGTAATATACACAACAAAGATGCTAAAACAGCTACTTAAATCTAAAAAAAGAAGAAAAAAAAAAAAAAGAAAAAGAAAAAAAAAAAAAAAACATATGAAAGTTAAAAACTTTTACTTTTTTGAATTACTAAGCATCATTGATATAAATAATATAATATATCTACGGAGAAATATATACTTTATGTAAGAAACCTCAAACTTATTAATTATTATTTTTATTTTCTTTGGGGAAGCTTATACTTGACATAAGGGACTTCAACATCCTCTCCTTCTGCATCATTACAACAAAGTTCAAGGACAAGTATTTTTACATGAGGCTTAATTTTCTTTTTAGAGATCTTTTCTACAGTTTGTGAAATGCTAAAAATAAAAAAATAAAAAAAAGTTTAAGCATGAAAACAAATAATGATTAATCAGATAATGAGTTTTGATTGAGTTTTAACTTACGGTGAAGTCAATCTCTCTTTTCTTTTATCAGCTGCCAAGAAAAATGAGTATATCATCGAAACCCCTTGTGAAATCATTGTAATTTCAAGACCAAGTTT